GGGTTCGTCTAACCGTCATCTTGACAAGTCCGTTCTTGTCCTTCTCAAGGATGCCCTTCATCAAGGCCCCGTTGACCTTCACCTCAGCTGTAGTCGACCTGCAGGTTTCCGTGTCGTCCAGGTGCCCCTCCATGGAGATGGCGTCGTCGAGGTGGCTGCTGTCCCACCCGACCCCGTGGCTCATGATGTGATCGTCCATGACGGCATGGCTACTCATTGGGTCGGCACCATCGGCGAAGATGTCTGAGAAGGACATGAGCCAGGAAGGAGAGAACAAGACGAGGGGTAGGAGCGACGAGGGAGGAGGCAGCAGCGAGAGAGCGGGAGGAGGAGAGGGAACAGCGAGGAGCAGGACTCACCGTGTTCGTTGGAGATGTTGGTCAGGGGCTCATCGGGAGGGGTGGGGATGCCGGACATTTCCTTGGAGAACGGCCAGATGTTCTTGCCTGTGGGTGACCCTCCCTTGCTGCCGAGCAGCACCGAAGACGCCGCGAACTTGTTCAAAGCCGAGCTCGTCTTCTTCTTGGGCCTCGAGACCTTGGGCTCCCCGTCCTGCATCGGGCACTCCGACGTCGCCGGGCTCGACACGCCGTCCGCGCCTCCCGGGTGGTTGGGGTCTTTGAGCCCGTAGGTGAACGCTACTTGCATCTTCTCCTTCTTCAGCTCGTCTGCTCTCGCTCTCAGCGCCGCTGCGTCCTCGGGCCCGTTCCCAGCCCCATTCTCTGCCTTGGCGATCTTCTTGTCAAGAGACTTCAGCTGGAGGAGCAGGAGTGAGGAGGGGAAGGAGCACAGAGAGCCCACAACGGACCTTCCTGTACGGCCAACGCGTGATCCCATGCTGTCTGCACAGCTTCTTCAGAGAGGTCAGGCAGATCCCGAGCTCCTTAGCGACTGTTTTCTCCGGGAGGTGCAAATACTGTGTCAGCTCCTCCATACTAACCATCCGGTGGGTTGGCATCTTTTAAAAGAGTTGGGTTACAGACTTCGCGCCTCCCTCAGCTTTCCTTGACAATGTTCCACTTCAACGTTCACAACCGAGACAACTGCCGAGACAAACGTCAGAACCCCATACACCACCATCGCATCGAATGTAAGTAAAGTAACTCTGGGAAATCAGTTTTGCAGAGTGTCAAACAACAATTCATGAGCGGAACGCCGCTGGAAACAACAGCAGCATGACAAAACTGTACATGCTGTCTACAACCGTCACGACTTCATACAAGCCGCATGACACCCGATTTACCAAAGCTCTCCTCCCCTTGCAATCCAGATACACCTCAAAATCTACAGTATACGAGGTCGATCGCAACACTCTTGCTCCGTCTCTCCCTCCTTTTAACTTTTCCTGCCCTTTCTTGTCTCATCTACCGACGAATCATTGCTGTCCGAAACCTCTCCTCTCCTCCATCTACGAAGGTCCACGACTTGCTAGATGCTGGTCCACGTATTTCTTGCCTACAACTGACGTGATCAACTCCATCAACACACCAACAAGGGAAGACATGCCTCCTGTAGGGTGTAGATACACCTAGGATAACCCATCATACCTACCATCTTCCGCATACCCCACTCTGCCTACAGAACTATTTCGGGACGCTCCGGATCGTTCGAGATTCCCAGGCGCATGACGACGCTCTCGGGCCGGATTACAGGCGCTAAGTCCTTGTACAGGTTTCGAAGAGTGCCAACAGATCGTATCCTGAAACTGCTCCCTTCCTCTCCCTTTCTAACGTAAGACCCATGGAGATCCCACTCCGTACCCTGTCTTGTCGTCTTGAGTCGTTGACTTGACTGGGAAGACCCTTTGCTTCGAACTTTCTTTCCTCGGCCATTCTATATCCCTTCTTGCTTTCTCATCCCTGCTCGCATTGTCTCGCCATTCCTCTTCCTCCTCTCCACTCCTTCCTCCTCTGCTCCACTTTCGGCACCTCCGCCGCTGCCATTATTATCATTTCCGGTACCTCCCAGGCCACTACCCCCCGCAAGAATCTGCGACCCCTACCCCCTCTTCCGACCATACCCTACCCATCAACGACAGAATGCACCCCCTTCAACAATGCCACCTACTCCCTTTTATACCTTAATTTGTACTAAAAAGTAGGGGTACTGCTTATCAATACCTACCCACCCATTTCCTGGGAATGACCTGATGGAGTCAAATCATGCTATTTGGGGGTAATTTGTGGAAGAAGGAGGGGTGGGGGTAAGGCGTCCCTTGAGTAAGGGAGCGGCCGCACCGAAGAGTCAAAGTGGCTCTTCGCAAACACCCACCCAACCCCCATGAAGTCATATAATTAGTACCATGTGATAGAAACTTAATATAAAAGTAAGATTCAGGACTTCGTACCATTCCATTACAAAATGTCGAAATATTTGACTTTTTGTACAATATAGTTCAAATAATCAATCAAGAAACGAAACTTGCGACAAATTATGTACCGTATAATTGACTAACTTAATCATGGGGGGTGGAATATCCACCCTGTAGCAGCCCCCGACGTGATGTGTTTAGAACTGTCAGACCGAACGATCCCGTTTTCGAATGTTTCAAATGCGGATCGAGTGACTACCGGTACTTATTACATGTGAAAGGGGGTGGGGTTATTTTGCTAGGGGGTGCAAGTCCGAATCACCCCCGTACAACTCTTTGTGGTGCTGACAAAGAGGGGTGGGGGTGGTCATTCTAAAATCTCCCCAAGGGTGATTCTTCTGGAAAACAGAGGAGAGAGATGGGGTGGGTGGGGCTGATTGATATGAATTTGTTAGGGGTAGGGGTGGTCAATCCAGGGCGTCGCAAAAACTTGGGAAAGTGGAGTGGTAGGAAGGAAGGAGGGTGGGTAGTTGTCGGATCGATGACACTCCTGGAGGAAGGGGAATGGTAGGGTCCTCGTTGAATCTTTGGGGTAGTACCCGTGGGTACGTCGAGGGTGGAAGAATGTCCTGGATTTTCATTCAGAAAGGGGGTACTGTGTAACTGAATTTGATAAAAAAAAAGGGGGTCCTTGTACAGAGTGGGGGGTGGGGTGGTTTAAGAGCAGGTAAACCGAGAAAGGGGGTGCAGTGAGGGGTAGGGGTCATAATGATGTGTCTCCGACCAGCAAAATATGAACTTAAAAACTACTTTTAACTTTTCGAATTTAAAACAATTTTATCACTGTCCATTGGAAAAAGGAACCAAGTTG